CGCGCCCCCCTCGGCCCCCGCCTGGGGCCCTGGGTGCGGGGCGGTTGCCTTCGCCCCCCTCGGCCCCGCTGGGCCCTGGTGCGGCCGGGTTGCCTTTCGCGCCCCCTGGCCCCCGCTGGCCCTGGTGCGGGCTCTTGCCTCGCCCCCCCTCCGCCGCCGCTTGCCCCTCCGTCGCCCCCCTCGCTCCCTGCCGGGCCTTGGTGTGGGCCCCTGCCTCGCGCTGGTGCGGGCGGTTGCCTCGCCCCCCTCGGCTCCCGTTGGCCCTTGTTGCGGGCCCCTGCCTCGCCCCCCTCGGCCCCTGCGCCCCCTCGGTGTGGGCTTTGCTTGTTTGGCCCCGTGTCCCCGTTTCCGCCCTTTTCCCGTCTCCTGGTCGCCTCTCTGTCCCCTCTCTCCTGCTCTTTCGGGGGTGGTGGTCCGGCCCCCCCTCTCCCCCCCCCCGGGGGGCGTCGGTGTGCGCGCTGGGCCTCCCCTTGCGTGCCCCCCGGCCCCCGTCCCTCGCCCGCCCTCCCGGGCGTGCCTGCCTTCCGGCGCTTTTTGTCCGGCGCCTGGTTGCTCCGGTGCCCGGCCGGCGCCCCTGGCCTCGCTCGGTTGGCTTGCCTGCCCCCCCGGGCGCCGCGCTCCCGCCCGTGCCCGCGGCGGCTGCTGCCCTCGCCCCCGCCCCCGTCCCTGCCTCGGGCCCCGGCTCCCTGGGGTGGTGCGCGCCGCCGCTGCGGTTGCGGGCTTGGCCCGGCCCCGTCTCTCGGTCTTTGCCGGTCTCGCGGTCCCTTCTCCTCGGCCCCCCCCTGCCTTGGCCTCGCCGCGGCCGTGCCCGCCGCCGCTGCTGCCCGCGCCCCCGGCCCCCGTCCCTGCCTCGGGCCCCGTCCCCCTGGGGTGGTGTCCGCGGCGCTCGCGCGTGCGGTCTCGGCCCGGCCCCGCCTTGGTGGTCTCGCCCCGTTGTTGCCTGTCGGCTGGCCGGGGCCGTCTCGTGGCCCTTGCTCGTGTTCTTCTCGTGCCCCGCGGTTGTGGCGTGGCCTCGCCCGTCGTTTCCTCCGCTCGCTCGTCGCGTCCTCGCTCGGGTGGGTTGTGGCCCGGCGCGCGTGGCTGCTGCCCCCTGTCCGCCCTGGGCCTCTGCGTGGTGCTCTGGTTGTGCGTGTTGGCCGGCTCCGTGCTCGCTGCCTCGCCCTGTCGCCCCGTCCTCCTCTTCCCTCTCCCCTCGTGCGGTCGTCGTCCCCCGGGGGCGCGCTCGGGCTCCTGTGCTGCCTCCCTGCCTCGCTGGCCCCCGGCTGTCTCGCCCTCCCTCCTCCGTCTCGTGTGCCGCGGGGCCCCGGGTCGGCCGTCCCTCGTGGCCGGTGTCCCCCGCGTGCCCCCCGCTCCTCCGTGGCCGCCTTGGTGCCCCGGCGTTCGCTCGTGCTCTCGGCTGCGGCCCGTTTCGCGGGCGCGGGCTCTCGGCCCCCGTTCGTCGCTGCTCTGCCTTTCCGTGCTCGCCCCGCCCGCCGCTTGCGCTCCGCGTCGGGCTCTCTCCGCCGCTCGGTCGGTGCGTCGCGGCCCCCGGTGCCCCCGTCCCGCCGGCCTGCTCCCTGGTTGCTCCTGCCCGTCGTCCTCTGCTTGTCTCCCCGCTTCCGCCCTGCCTGTGTCCGTCTGCCCTCCTTCCGCCTGTGCCCCTGCGCCTGGCTCCTTCCCTCCGTTCTCGTTTGTTTGCTGGTCTCTCCTCCTCGGCTCCCCGTCGTCCTTCTCGCGCTCCTCCGTGCCCCCCCCCGCCTTCTGGCCGGGCTGCCTTTCTTCGCTCCCCGGTCGCCGCGGGCTCTGCCCGTTGCTCTGCTGCTTCCTGCTCCCTCGCCGGCTCGCCCGGCCTTTGTGCCGGCGCCGCCTCCTTCCCCTTTCTGCCCTCTCCCCTTTCGCTGGTCGGCTCGTGGCCTCCTCTGGTGGTGCCGGGTGCCGGCGCCTTCGGGTTCGCTTCCGGCGCGGGCGCCTGCGCCCCGGCTCCCCCTCCCCGGCCGGCCGCCGGCGCGCCCCTTCCCCCTCCTGCCCCGGGGCGGTCGTGCCCTCCCTCCCCTCCCGGGCTCTCTGCGTCTGGTCCTTGGCCTGCGTCCCCTCTCCCTCCCTTCCCGCGGCTCCCTTGGCGGGCCCGTCTGGTGCCCGCCGCCGCGGTCCTTCCCGCTCCCCTCGCGTCTCTTTCCGTTGTTGCCGTTCCCCGCTCGTCGTTGGCCCTCGGGTTGGGTCGTCCGGTCCGCCTCCCGGTGCGCCCCGGTCTGCTCGTCCCTCCTGCCGGCGCGCTCTCCTGGCCTTCCTTGCCCGGGTCGTTCCTCCGGCGCTGTTCCTTTGCCGCCCTTCGCGTGCTCCCCGCCGGCCTCCGCTTGTCTCCCTTCGCCTGGGCTCCCCTCCTCGGCTTTCGGTCCTCTTGTGTTGGCCTTCGGGCTCGGCGTCCTGCTTCCCCGGGCCCGTCGGGGGCCTTCGTCTTTCCTCGTCCGCGGTGCCCTTCTTGGCTTTCTGCCCGCCGCCCCCCTGCGCCCGCCTTTGCCCCGGCTGTTTTCCTTCCTCCCGCCCGCCCGTTGGGGGCTCGCCGCCGCTCCGCTCCCGTCCTCGTCTCCCCCTCCCCGCTGCCGCCCGGGCTCGGCGGCTGTTCCTTTTCGGCCTCCGCCGGCCCCTTCTGCGCCCTCCCCGTCTTTGGGTTCCGGGGGCGTCTGGTCGCCCGGCTGCCCCTTCCCGGCCTTGCCGGCCGGGCCCCCCGGCGTGGCGCCTGCGGCTTCCTTTGCCTCCCCCGGGGCCCCTTCCCCGGTCCCGCCCTCGTCCGGCTTGCCCGCCTGCGCGCTCTTTCTTGCTTCTCTGGGTGGTGGTGCCTGGCCGTTCTTCGTTGGTGGCGCGCTTTGTCTGGTTCCTTCCGTTCCCGCCCGCGCCCTCCGCCTGCCCTCGCTCCGCGGCGGTGCTCCTTCGTGGCTCGCTTCTTCGCGGGCCTCTGGCCGCTTCGGCCCCGGCCGTTTGCGGCCCTCCCCGGTCTGTGCTGCCCTTCGCTGTTCTGGGCCGCCCGCGCGCTCCCCTGCTGTCTTCCCCGCGTCTCTCGCCTTGGCCGCCCGGCCCGGGTCCTCTTTGCCCTTTCCTCGTGCTGGGGCTCGCTCCTTGCCCTTGTTGGTCTTCCCCGCGGCCTTCCTCGTCCGCGCGCGTCCTCCGCTCGCGTTGCCTCCGTCCCTGCCCTTTGTCCCCCCCGCCCGTCGCTCCTCCCGCTTGCCTGGTCCGGTGCCGTGTTCGGCTCGCGGCGCCGCGGCCGGTCCGCCGCCCGCGCCGTCGCGCGCCGTCCCCTGCCCTTCTCCTTTCGCGGCCGGCGCCGTCGTCCCCCGGTTTCCGTCGGTGCCCCTGCGGCCGGCTCCTTGTCGCCCCCCGCTCGCCGGCCGCCCCGCGGCCGCGTTCCCGCCCCCCCGCGGGGGCGGGGGTGCCCCCGCGCCCCGCGCCCCTCCGGCCCCGGGCGGGCGCGCCGGTCGCTTCGTCCCCTCGCGGGGCGGGCGCCCGCTCGGCGTCGTCCCGCCCTCCGCCGCCCCCGCCCCCCGGCGCGCCTCGCGCCCCGGCCCCGCCCCGCCCCCGGCGCGCGCGGCGCGCCGTCGCCCTCCCGTCCGCGGTGCGTGCGCGGCGCGCGCCGCGCCTCCTTTTGTCGCGCCCCCGCCCCGCCTCTCGGCCCCGGCTCTCTCGGCTCTCGCCTCGCTGCCGCCCGTCGCGCCCTGCGCTCCTTGGTGTGCCTTGCCGCCTCCCGTGCCCCCTCGCGTCTTTGCCCGCCCGTTGCGCCCCCCGCCCTTCGGCCGCGGGCCCGCCTGCCTGGGTGTCCTGCCCCGTCGCCCCCCCTCCGCCCCCCGCCCTCCGGGCTCCGGGGGCCGGGGGCGGGCGGCCGCTGGCCTCCCGCGCTCCCGTGGGTCGCGGTTGGCCCCCCGCGCGTCCCCGGCCCCGCCCGCGCCGTGCCCGTCGGTGGTGGCGCTCCCGCGTGCCTCGTCCCCGGTGCCGCGCGCTCGTTGTCCCTCCGGCCCCCTTCGGCCCCCCGCCTCGCTCGCTCGCTGCTCGCGTCGCGCCCCCCGGTCCGGCGGGCTCCCCCGCTGCGTTTCCGCCTCTCCCTCCGCGGCGGCCCCGCCCCTTCCCCGGCTTCCCCTCGTCCCGGCGCGCGCCCCGGGCCGCGCCCCGCTTGCGCCTCGGGCGCCCCCGGCGTCCGCCTTGTCGTCTGGCGCCGCGTCCTCCGCGGCGGCCCGGGCCCCCGTCCCCTGGCCCGGGGCGCCGGCGCGGGTGCGCGCCCCGTCGTGCCCGGCCCCTGTCGCCCCCCGCGGCGCTGTCCGCGCGTCGGGTTGTTTGGGCCTGCCGCCCCCTCGGGCGGTCCCTTCCGTCCCCGGCTGCCTCCGGGCGCGCGCCCGCTCGCGCCCCCGTCCCGCGCGGGCCGCTGCCCCGGCCTTTGCCCCGCGCGTCCCCGCGTGCTTGCCCTTGTCGGGCGGGCCGCGGCTGGGGGCCGGCGCTGCGCCCCGGTCGGCTGTGGCCCGGCGCGCGCCGGTCCGCCGCTCGGCTCGGGGCGTGGCCCGCCGCGGGTCGCGGCGGCGGCCCCCGCCCGGGCTTTCGCTGTGCCCGCGGCGCCGTCGTCGCCGCGCTCGTGGCCCGCCGCCCGCGCCGTCTCGGCGTGCCCCGGCCCCCGCGTGCTCCGGGCGTCGGCCCGCGGGCTCCCCCTCCGGCCCGTCTTGCCCCCGGCCCCCGGCGTCTGCCCTGCGTGCGCGTCCCCGGGCCCGGCCCCCGTCCGGCGCCCGGCCGCTGCTTGGCGGGCTCCCTCGCGGGTGCCCCGCCGCCCGCCCTTGCTCTTCTGCGCCGGGTTCGCGTGCGCGCCTGCCCGTCGGGCCCCGCCCGCTGGTGCCCTCTGCCTGCGCGGGGCGCCGCCCGCGGCCCCTCTGGTGGCGGCCCGCCGCGCTCCTGCCGTGCCCCTCGTTCGTCTGCCTTGGGTCTCGGGGCGCCCGCCTCCTCGCCCCGTCTCGTCGCTGGTTCCCTCCGCCGTTTCCCTCCGGCTCGCTGGCGCCCCCGTCGCGTTCTCTCGGGTCCCGCCCCTGCTTCGCGGCCTCGGGGGCGCCCCGCCCTCGCCCTCTTCTCCCCTTTCCCTCGGTCGGCCGGCGCGGCTGCTCCGTTGCGCCGCGCCCCGGCCTCGCGCGCTCCCCGTGGGCCCTTTTTGGTCCGCCGCCCTGGCGCTGCGGGCTGCCCCGGCCGCCGGGTTCCGGTGCCGCCCTGCGCGCTCCCCCCGCCCCCCCGGGTGTTGGTCGCTTCCGCCCGCCGGCCGGTGGTCCTGGCCGTCGCCCTCCGCTCCGGCGTGTGTCCCCCTCCCCTGCCGCCTCCCCTCGCCCCGCCCCTGGCTGGCGCTTCCGCGCGCGCCCTCCCCCGGCCGTCGGGGCCCGGGCCCGGCCCCGCTGCGTCGGCGGGCGCGGCGGTCGCCGCCCCCCGGGGCGCGCGCCCGGGCGGCGCGGCCGTCGGTGCCGCTCTTGGTGGTCGTCGCCCCTCTTCCCCTGCGCCCTTTGCCGGCCGCCGCGGGGCCCGGTTCCCTGTGCCCGGCCCTTGCCCCTGGGTTCGTCGCTCCTCCGCGCCGGGGGCCGCCCGTCCGCCCGCGCGTCCCGCGCGCGCTTCGCCCGGGCCTCGGGTTCCCCTTCCTGCCCCGGGCCGCGGCGGCTGCCGGCCCCGTTCGGGCGTCCGGCGCCGTCGGCGGGGGCCTCGGGCCGCGTTCTCTTTTCTGTTTCCCGGCCCGCCCCCCTGGCCCCGGCTCCGCCGGCGGTCGGGTCCCGCGGCCGGCCGCGCCCCGCCCGTCGCGTGGTGTCCGGTGCGCCCCGGCGGCCCTTGCCCCTCCGGCGGCCCGCGTGCCGTCCGCGCCCGGTCGTCCTCCTCCCCGCCTCCGGTCTCCCCGGTGCCCCGCCTCTGGTCGCTGGCCCCTGTCGGCCCGGGCCGTCGGCCCCCTGGCTCCGTCCCCTCGGGCCCCGGCTTGGCTCTGCGGGCTGGGCCCGGGGGTCCCCGTCCCGCCCCCGTCGGCTGCCGGTGCCCTGCTCGCGCTGCTCCCGCGGCGCGCGCGGGTCGCCGCGTGCCGGCCGGGGGCCGGCCTGGGCCCGGCTCCCTCGGGGGCCTTCCCCGGGCGCCGCCCCGTCGCCTCCGCCCTGGTCCGGCCCGGGGCCTCCGCCTGTTTCCTTCCCCCGCCTTGCGCTGGTCCCTGCGGCTGCTCCCCCTGTGCTTTCTGCCCCGTGCTCTGCCTGTCCCCGTGCCGCCCTTCCCCCGCGCGGGTCCCCGGCGGGCGTCCCTCTGCCTCTCTTCCGGTCGCCCCCTGCCTCGTCCTCTCCTTCGTGCCGCGCCTGCCTGGCTTCCCGCGCTTCCCCCTGTCCCTGTCTCCTCTCCCGCGCCCCCCGCCCCGGGCCCGGGCTTGGCGGCCTCCGCGGGGCCCGCCGCCCCTGTTGCGCTTGCCTCTCGTCCGCCTTTGTGCCCTGCCTTGCGCGGTGTCGGCTCCGTGGGCGCCCCCGGGCGCCCTTGCCCTCCCCCTCCTTTTCCCGTTCTTTTCCTTCTTCCGTGCCTCGGCGGCGGGGCCCGCCCCCTTCTTTTGGCCCCCCGGCCGGCCTCGGCCGGTCGCTCCGGGCGGCCGCCCTTGTCCGGTGGGGCGTTTGGCTGGGGCGGCCCCTCTGTTCCCCGCTCCCGCCGGTGTCCTCCGCTGCGCTCCCCGCGCCCCGCCCTCTCGTGTGGCCCCCCGGGTCCCGCTCGTTTGCTTCTGCTTTCCCGTCCGCCTCCGCCCCGTGCCCGCGTGGCCTCTCGCTCCTTTCGCCCTTCGGGCTTTGCCGCTCGCGGTGTCCGCCCCGTTCCCCCGGGCTCCCTGGCTTGTGGCCGCCCCGCGTTCCTCGCGCCGTTGCTTTTTGCTCCTTCGCTGTCGGCTCTTCCTCTCCTTGTGCCGCCGCCTTCCCCCGTGTTGGCTTGTTCCCCCCCTCGGGCCCGTGCGCTGGGTTTCGCCCGTCGTGCGCCCGGTTCGTTTTCCCCTCCTGCTGGCGGCGTCGCGCTCGTCCTTCCCCCTCGTCCGCGCGGCCCCGTTGCTTCGCCCCCTTGGTCCTCGCGCTTGGTTGCCCCGCCCGTGGCGCGCCGCTCCCGTGCGCTGGCTTCTGCCTGCCCGCCTCTCCGTCCGCCTCCGGGCTCGCCGCGCCGCGCGCGCCCGCCGCCCGCTTGCCGCCCCGCCGTCGGGGCCCCTGGCCCCCCGGGCCCGTGTCGTCGGTGCCGCCCCCGCGGCGGCCGCGCCGCGCGGGCCTCCTCGGCGCTCCCTTCCCCGCGCGGCGGGTCGCCTCCTTTGCCGCCGCCTTCCCTCCGCGCCGGGGTCTTGTCCGTGGCCGCGTGGCCTTGCTGCCCCGCTCCGCTGCGCTTCCGCCCTTTCGTCGCTCCGCTTCGTCCCTCCCCCCGTCGCCCCTCCTTCTTTTCCCGCCGTCCCCCTCGGGGGTTGGGCGTGCCCCGGGGCCCCCGTCCCCCGCTCTCGCCCGGGCCCGCCCCCCGCTCGGCCCCGCCCCGCGCGTGCCGGCCCCGCCCCGCCCGCGGGGGGGGCTGCGCGCGCCGCCCCCGGCTCCCGCTGCCGGTCCCCGGGCTGCGCGCCGGCCCCGGCTCCCGCTGTTGGTCCCCTCGGTCGTTGCCCCCCGCCGTCGCTCGCCTCTGGCCCTCGGTCGGTCGCGCCCGGCCTGCCCTGCGTCTGCCTCCGTCCCCCCCGGCCCGCGCGTGCGGGCGCTCCGCCGGCCGGCGGGGCCTGCTGCGCCCGCCGGGGCTCGGCCCGGTCCCCCGCGTGCTGCTGCCGCTCCCGCTGCCGGTCCCGCTGTCGCCCCCTCGGTCCGGCTGGGGCTTCGCCCTGGCCTGCCCTCCGTGTGCCTCCGTCCCCCCCGGCCCGCGCGTGCGGGCGCTCCGCCGGCCGGCGGGGCCTCCTGCGCCCGCCGGCGCCCGCCCCGGTCCCCCCGCGTGCTGCTGTCGCTCCCGCTGCCGGTCCGCTCTTCGCCCGGGCCTGCGCTCCGTCTGCTTCGCTCGGGCCTGCCCTCCGTCTGCCTCCGTCCCCCCGCCCCGCGCGTGCGGGCGCTCCGTCGCCCGGCGGGGCCTGCCGCGCCCGCCGGGGCTCGGCCCGGTCCCCCGCGTGCTGCTGCCGCTCCCGCTGCCGGTCCCGCTGCCGCGCCCCTCGGTCCGCCTGGGGCTTCGCCCTGGCCTGCGCTCCGTCTGCCTCCGTCCCCCCCGGCCCGCGCGTGCGGGCGCTCCGCCGGCCGGCGCGGCCGGCTGCGCCCGCCGGGGCTCGCTCGGGTGCTCGGTGGGTTTCGGCCCCTCTTCCCCTTTCTGCCGTGCCCCTGCCCTTTTTCTGGCTTGTCCCTTCCTCCCCTGGTCCCCTCCGCCTTCCCGTGCCGTTTCGTTGCCCGCTGCCTCGTTTTCTCTTTTTCCCGCTTTTCGCCCCTTTTTGCGGTTCGGCTTTTTTCGCCTTTTTTTCGCCGGCGTTTGGCCCCCCTTTTGTGGCCGTGCTCCTTCTCTTTTTGTTGGCCTGCCCCCCCTTCCGCTCCCCTCGCCCCGGCGCCGCTTTCGTGCCCGTTTGCCCCCGTGTCCCCCTTTCCGCCCCTTTCCCGGCTCCTGGCCGCCCCCTGTCCCTCTCCCCCGCTCTTTCCGGGGGTGTGCGTTCTCCGCGGTTTGCTGCGGGCTCGGGGGCCCCCCCGGGCCCCGTCCCGCCCCCCTCGCCCGTCCTGTGCGCCCCCCCCCGGCCCCCTCCCCTCGCCGGCCCCCCTGCCGCCGGTCCGGTTCTCCGGCGGTCCTCCGGCGCTGCTCCGGCGCTGCTGTCCCGCGTGCCCCCCTGCGGCCCCCGCCCCTGCTGGCGCCCCGCCTGGGCCCCGTGGCTCCCCTCGCCCTTCGGCCCCGGCCTCGCCCCTCCCTGGCCCCTGCTGCCGCCTGGTGCTGGCCCCTGCCTCGCCCCTCCTCGGCCTCGGCTGCCCTTCGGTCCGGGCCCTTGCCTCGCCCGCCCTCGGCCCCGCTGGGCCCTGGTGTGGGTTGTTGCCTCGCTCCCCGCGGCCCCTGCTGCGCCTTGGTGCGGGCGGTTGCCTCGCGCCCCCTCGGCCGCCCCTGGGCCCTGGTGCGGCCGGTTGCCCCGCTCCCCCTCGGCCCCGCTGGGCCCTGGCGCGGCCGGTTGCCTCGCTCCCCCTCGGCCCCGCTGGGCCCTGGTGCGGGCGCTTGCCTCGCCCCCCTCGGCCGCTGGGCCCTGGTGCGGGCGCTTGCCTCGCCCCCCTCGGCCCCGCTGGGCCCTGGTGCGGGCGCTTGCCTCGCCCCCCGGCCCCGCTGGCCCTGGTGCGGGCGGTTGCCTCGCGCCCCTCGGCCCCCGCTGGGCCCTGGTGCGGGCGCTTGCCTCGCCCCCCTCGGCCCCGCTGGGCCCTGGTGCGGGCGCTTGCCTCGCCCCCCTCGGCCCCCGCTGGGCCCTGGTGCGGCCGGTTGCCTCGCCCCCTCGGCCCCCGCTGGGCCCTGGTGCGGCGGTTGCCTCGCCCCCTCGGCCCCGCTGGGCCCTGGTGCGGCGGTTGCCTCGCCCCCTCGGCCCCCGCTGGGCCCTGGTGCGGCCTTGCCTCGCCCCCCTCGGCCCCGCTGGGCCCTGGTGCGGCGGTTGCCTCGCCCCCCTCGGCCCCCGCTGGGCCCTGGTGCGGCGCTTGCCTCGCCCCCTCGGCCCCGCTGCCCTGGTGCGGCGGTTGCCTCGCCCCCCTCGGCCCCGCTGGGCCCTGGTGCGGCGGTTGCCTCGCCCCCCTCGGCCCCCGCTGGGCCCTGGTGCGGGCGGTTGCCTCGCCCCCCTCGGCCCCGCTGGGCCCTGGTGCGGGCGGTTGCCTCGCCCCCCTCGGCCCCGCTGGGCCCTGGTGCGGCGGTTGCCTCGCCCCCCCTCGGCCCCCTGGGCCCTGGTGCGGCGGTTGCCTCGCGCCCCCTCGGCACCCGCTGGGCCCTGGTGCGGGCGCTTGCCTCGCCCCCCTCGGCCCCCGCTGGCCCTGGTGCGGCGGTTGCCTCGCCCCCCTCGGCCCCGCTGGGCCCTGGTGCGGCCGGTTGCCTCGCCCCCCTCGGCCCCGCTGGGCCCTGGTGCGGCGGTTGCCTCGCCCCCCTCGGCCCCCGCTGGGCCCTGGTGCGGCGGTTGCCTCGCCCCCCTCGGCCCCCGCTGGGCCCTGGTGCGGGCGCTTGCCTCGCCCCCCTCGGCCCCCGCTGGGCCCTGGTGCGGCCGGTTGCCTCGCGCCCCCTCGGCCCCCGCTGGGCCCTGGTGCGGCGGTTGCCTCGCCCCCTCGGCCCCCGCTGGGCCCTGGTGCGGGCGCTTGCCTCGCGCCCCTCGGCCCCCGCTCGGCCCTGGTGCGGTCGGTTGCCTCGCGCACCCTCGGCCCCCGCTGGGCCCTGGTGCGGCCGGTTGCCTCGCCCCCTCGGCCGCCTCGCCCCCTCGGCCCCGCTGGGCCCTGGTGCGGGCGCTTGCCTCGCGCCCCTCGGCCCCCGCTGGGCCCTGGTGCGGCGTTGCCTCGCGCCCCTCGGCCCCGCTGGGCCCTGGTGCGGCGGTTGCCTCGCGCCCCCTCGGCCCCGCTGGGCCCTGGTGCGGCCGGTTGCCTCGCCCCCTCGGCCCCGCTGGGCCCTGGTGCGGGCGCTTGCCTCGCCCCCTCGGCCCCGCTGGGCCCTGGTGCGGGCGCTTGCCTCGCGCCCCTCGGCCCCGCTGGGCCCTGGTGCGGCGGTTGCCTCGCGCCCCTCGGCCCCGCTGGGCCCTGGTGCGGGCGTTGCCTCGCGCCCCTCGGCCCCGCTGGGCCCTGGTGCGGCCGGTTGCCTCGCGCCCCTCGGCCCCCGCTGGCCCTGGTGCGGCGGTTGCCTCGCGCCCCCTCGGCCCCGCTGGGCCCTGGTGCGGGCGGTTGCCTCGCGCCCCTCGGCCCCGCTGGGCCCTGGTGCGGCGGTTGCCTCGCCCCCTCGGCCCCCGCTGGGCCCTGGTGCGGGCCGGTTGCCTCGCGCCCCTCGGCCCCCTGGCCCTGGTGCCCGGTTGCCTCGCGCCCCCTCGGCCCCCCTGCCCTGGTGCGGGCGTTGCCCTCGCGCCCCTCGGCCCCCGCTGCCCTGGTGGCGCGCCCCGGCGCGCCCGCGTGTGCCGCTGGTGCTCGCGGCCCCGCCCGCCCCCGGGCCCCGCGTGTGCCGCTGGTGCTCGCGGCCCCGCTGGCCCCGGGCCCCGCGTGTGCCGCTGGTGCTCGCGGCCCCCGGCCCCGGGCCCGCGTGTGCCGCTGGTGCTCGCGGCCCGCCCGCCCCCGGGCCCCGCGTGTGCCGCTGGTGCTCGCGGCCCCGCCCGCCCCCGGCCCGCGTGTGCCGCTGGTGCTCGCGGCCCCGCCGCCCCGGGCCCGCGTGTGCCGCTGGTGCTCGCGGCCCCTGCCGCCCCCGGGCCCCGCGTGTGCCGCTGGTGCTCGCGGCCCCCCGCCCCGGGCCCCGCGTGTGCCGCTGGTGCTCGCGGCCCCTGCCGCCCCCGGGCCCCGCGTGTGCCGCTGGTGCTCGCGGCCCGCGCCCGCCCCCGGGCCCCGCGTGTGCCGCTGGTGCTCGCGGCCCCGCCGCGCCCCGGGCCCCGCGTGTGCCGCTGGTGCTCGCGGCCCCGCCGCCCCGGGCCCCGCGTGTGCCGCTGGTGCTCGCGGCCCCGCCGCCCCCGGGCCCCGCGTGTGCCGCTGGTGGTCGCGGCCCCGCCCGCCCCCGGGCCCCGCGTGTGCCGCTGGTGCTCGCGGCCCGCGCCCGCCCCCGGGCCCCGCGTGTGCCGCTGGTGGTCGCGGCCGCCGCTGCGCGGCCCCCGCCGCCCCCGGGCCCCGCGTGTGCCGCTGGTGCTCGCGGCCCCGCCCGCCCGGGCCCGCGTGTGCCGCTGGTGCTCGCGGCCCGCGCCGCCCCCGGGCCCCGCGTGTGCCGCTGGTGGTCGCGGCCCCCTGCCGCCCCCGGGCCCGCGTGTGCCGCTGGTGGTCGCGGCCCGCCGCCCCGGGCCCCGCGTGTGCCGCTGGTGGTCGCGGCCCGCCCGCCCCCGGGCCCCGCGTGTGCCGCTGGTGGTCGCGGCCCCGCCCGCCCCCGGGCCCCGCGTGTGCCGCTGGTGGTCGCGGCCCCTGCCGCCCCCGGGCCCCGCGTGTGCCGCTGGTGGTCGCGGCCCCTGCCGCCCCCGGGCCCCGCGTGTGCCGCTGGTGGTCGCGGCCCCGCCCGCCCCGGGCCCGCGTGTGCCGCTGGTGGTCGCGGCCCCGCCCGCCCCGGGCCCGCGTGTGCCGCTGGTGCTCGCGGCCCCGCCCGCCCCGGGCCGCCGTGTGCCGCTGGTGCTCGCGGCCCCCGCCGCCCCGGGCCCCGCGTGTGCCGCTGGTGGTCGCGGCCCCCGCCCGCCCCCGGGCCCCGCGTGTGCCGCTGGTGGTCGCGGCCCCGCCCGCCCCGGGCCCC